CGTCCCGTTACTATTAGGAGAGATTCATCATTATGATGTTGCCAGGATTTACCCAGAGTAATGAGCTCGTCACCAGTGAGCTGGCTCAGGCTCCCAGAGGCCCTGGGAGCGCTGAGTAAGAGCGGCCTGCGTGGTCATCCCCCCACGTACTTGGGGCCTCCTGAGCCTGAGGCCGGGCGTGAGTCCTGTGCGTCCGGACCAGCGAGGGGGCTCGGACCACCGGCGTGCGTGGGCACCCGGGGCCGCTCCGCGGGGGAGAGCACGGGGGGGGTGGGGGGTCTGAGAGGCGAGGGTCGCAGGCGGGCTGGAATCTGCTCGGAACTGAGCCTGTGCGGCCCCGGGTCTTCGTGCTCCTCCCCTGCACCGGCAGGTGCGAGAAGATGAGAAAGCGTCATCCCGGTCGGGTGCCCGGCTCAGCCCGGCGCAGAGCGGGCGTCCGTGAACGGTGGCGGGTCTGCCGTGTCGGGGGACGCAGGATTTGCTCGCGGGCCTCCCCACTGTGCCGAGGCTCTCGGCCCGGTGGCCACTGCTCAGGGATCAGCTTCGGGGCCTCCGCCGGCGGGCAGGCTCCCGGGGGCGGGGGGGGGGCGGTGCTGTACTCACGACTGGTTTTCAGGCCCCTTTCTGTGTTAAGGGGGCGGGGACCCCAGTGCTGTTTTCACTTCCTGCGTCTCCACCTCCTGCACTCAGGCCCAGAGGGGGTGCTGCATGAGAGAGCGAATGTCTCCACCGGGCGCCTGCCACCTCCCTGCTCAGCTACGGCTTCCGAGACGGCCAGCGTTTTCCTCGGGGACATTTAGACTCGAAAGGACTGGGTGTTTGGGAGTGAAGTGGAACATCACAGTTCACGAGCTGCAAAGGTTAGCAGTGATTTGTGTCCGGGGCCGGCTCCTCTGAGGACCAGCCGACACCTCGGAGCAGAACAGGATGTTTCCCCTCCGCCTCCTCAACCCCGAGCTGCGTTGCCGGTGCAGGCCGGCCGCTCGCTGGCCTGGCCACGGGGGAGTGACCGAGCCTCTGTGGCTGCGTCCGCCCCTGAAGACAGAACGTTCTCCTGTACGTGGAACGCGGGTGCGCCTCCCCGCTGGCGCCGGGCCGGCCCGGGCGAGGTGCGCGCTTCCCGGCGGCTCCTGGGGCCTTTGGCCGGTTCTGTGTGTCGCTGATCAGACGGACCCCGGAGATCGGACTCAGCGGGTGCCGGTCCCAGGTCCCAGGTCCCCGGCACAGGCTTGGGGGCTCCGTGTGGAGAGGGGAAGGATGGGGGGCAGATGGGGGGGCACGACAGGGAACCCACCTCTCTGCCCCGTGTGCGGAGCTGGCCGCCGTGGGCGCGACTCCGCGGAGGGAGGACCCGAGGCACCGAGTTACTGGGCTAGTGGGCGCCGCCCCCATGCATGCGCGCCGAGGGAAGCCAGGCACGAAGACACACATTTCTTCCCGGCCTTGTTTTTATGTTAACGCGAAGAAAAGAAAAGAGAAAATGCGATGTAATTGTGCAAACGGTCCTGCTGCGGAAACGTGTTACGGAAGCTGATGGCTCAGTCACGACATGTCATTGTCGCCGCAGCGCTGGGGGCGCGGGCCCGCCCCGACCCCGTGACCCGGGAACAGACGGCCCGGCCGGCCGGGCAGAGGGAGGCCGGGCAGAGGGAGCCCGTGCAGCCTCGCCCCCGGGCGGTGTCCTGCGGCTCCAGGACGGCCCGCCCGCCCTCCCTGAGGGGCGCGACCCCTCCTCCCCATCCAGGGCCGGCGGGGGCCAGTCCTCCGGGTGCACCGGCAGCGGTGACCTGCTTTCCCAGCCCCGTCGCGGGATGGGGTGGGGGGGCAACGGGCAGTTCTCCGGAAGAGGCGCGTTTATCCTCAAGAAGCAGAACAGCGGGCTCACGTGCACCACAGTTCTTCACACGCAGGACTCCAGGGCAGCGGGAGGCTGTCCCTTTGAGGAGACCGAGGCACAGAGGAGAGACTCCCTGAGCGGGCGGAGCGCCGAAAGGGGGGAGGACGGGGGGGGGGGCGGGAGACGCCTGCGGGACCCCCAGCTCAGGGCGTGGCTCGGGCCGCGGGTCGGTTCCCCCCTCCCCTCGGCTGCGCCCCACCCGCGCTTCTGGCCAGCGGGTCACAGGAGGCGGCTGCCCTCCAGGGGCCGGCGGGGCCGCAGGGGATCGGGCGACGCGGGTCCTGAACTCGTTACAGGTTTCCCTTGGGCTTGGGCAGCGCCAGGGAGACGGCAGGTCCGGGAAATGACCGGCCTCTGCTCCCGCTCCCGCGGGGAACCACGGGCAAGGCCCCGCCCGGAGAGAACAGCCCGGGCCGCGGCAACGGCCAGTGGGAGGCAGTGAAGTGGGCACGGGACGGGGTGCCGGACCTGCCTCGGGCTCCTGGACCTGCCGTGGGCTCCTGCCTGGACGCGGGCTGGGTCGGGTCAGGCGGCCCAGGACCTTTGCAGGAGGAGCAGCCTCGGTCCCCGCCCCCTGAGCTCGGGCTGCATTGGCAAACCAACCACAATGCCGGTTCCCAGGCGGCTGTGCTGGCCGCCCCTCCCCCGGCCTGGGCCGTCAGGCTCCGACCCACGGCCTTCCCTCCCTGGGCTCCTCCTTACGTTCCTCTCTGACCAGCCAGAGCCTGCAGGGCCTGAGCGGGGGTGACCCTGGGCGGGGTGAGCGAGGGGCAGCGTGCTGGCGGAGCTGCGTCGGAAGGAGCCCGGGTGTGGGGGGGGGCGCTGGGGAGGAGAGGAGCCCGGAGCCGGGGTCTGCACCTGGGGGCAGGGTCAGGAGACAGAGCAGCTTCCTGGCAGAGAGCGGCGAGGTGGCCGCCGTTGCGGCCGGTGGGCAGGGGGAGAAGGGCCGCGCTCAGACGGCAGGGACCGGCGAAGGCACTTGGTTTGCACAGGAGCCCTGAGCATCCGGAGCCTGATCCAGTCTCGATGCTTGAATCTCCAGCTGGTTTTTGGGAAGTGGCTTTTCAGATGCTCATCACACGGTGCTTGTTCGATATGAATGGAAATAATTACTTTTTGAGAGCGATTAGCATGCCCAAGAATAACCACAGACTTTCCCCCAATTTTTGCTTTTAGATAAATGTCAAATATCTGCCTTAAGTTGGATTTGATGTGTTTTTTCCTTAAGGACCGTTACAAAGTGGTGAAATGTGATGAAGCCCCAGGGGAATGCTGGGAAGTCGTGAAAAGTGTGCAGGGAGAGAAAGCCAAGGGGACCCCCCCCCCGGGAAAACGCCTCAGCGGTGACCTCGGTCTCCGAAGAGGTGACGGCACCAACACCAGCGCCACCTGAGTGCACCTTTCCCCGGCTTCTCCGCTCTGACCGGGGCCTGCGCAGGTCCCTGGGGTGCGGCGCGGGGGCCGCGTGGTCTGGAGACCCCACGCAGGCTGGCGGTTCAGAGTGGGGTCTCGAGCGGGCACCCGGCCTCTGCCCCGAGGAAACCGCGTGCAGATCAGGAGGGCGGGAGCTCGTGGGGGCAGTTCCACGGGGCGCAGGGGACCCTCGGGGCTTTGGTGTGCCCTGGGCGAAGGGGCGGAGCCTCCCCCCCTTTTCTTCCTCAGGTGAAAAGACGGCGGAGGGGCGGCTGGAGTCGGGACCCTCATCTCTGCCCCCCGGGGCTGCCCAGAGGGGCGGGCACGCCTGTGGGGGGCGGGGCGTGGTCTCCGTCTGCGTTTCTGCTGGTGCTGACCAGGCCCCGGGCAAGTGGAACCGGGTCACTCAGAGCCCTGGGCCCCCTGCGAGCAGGACGGGACGTCCAGTCCCGGCAGCTTCCTGGGGGTCCCGTGAAGCCCCGCGGACCCCACCCGCTCTCCTCGCGGCCGCGGCGCCCAGCCCCACGCAAGCACGCGGCACACCGGACCGGTAACGCAGGAAGTGCGGTCACGGCCGTGTCCCCCTGGGGGCCTTGCCGCCGCCGCAGGGACGATCACAGCTCACGCCCCCGCCAGGCCCCGTGCGCGCAGCCCGGCCGCGCTTCCCTGTGCTTGTCCGAGCTTCTGAGCCCCGGCGCCTTCGCCCTCGGCCGCCTAGGCTCTGAGGGGGGCCGCCCGTGCAGCCGCACCCCGAGCCCCCTCTGCCGGCGGGCCGCCAGGCCCCCAGAGGGGCGAACAAAGAGGTTTCCAGACGTTGCCCAGCAGCGTCCGGGGGGCGAGAACTGGTGTCTCCGCTTCCTCTTCTTTTCCGGTTCTGAGTTGTCTTTCTCCAGCGTGAAAACGGGGCTGTATCCTCAAGTGCTCAGAGGTTTACTCTGTGGTGGCAGTTATTTTTTTTTTAAAGACTTTTTAAATTTTTTTATTTATTTTATTTTTAGAGAGAGAGGAAGGGAGGGAGAAAGAATGTGTGGTTGCCGCTTGCACGCCCCCTACTGGGGACCTGGCCCACAGCCCAGGCCTGTGCCCTGACTGGGAATCGAACCTGTGACCCTTTGGTTTGCAGGCCGGCAATCAATCCACTGAGCCACCCCAGCCAGGGCGGTTATTATTATTATTAACATCACTAACATCTTCCGTGTAGCTCAGAAGGCAGTTTGCCCAGGGCTTCCTCCCACACTAGCCTCGCTGTCCGGACAAGGTAGACGGAGAAGCACCTTCGCTGGGACGGAACCTCCGCCTGCGCTTGGAATCCCGCACGTGCGGCAGAAAAGCCCCGCCCCTCCCCAGGACGCTGAGCTCAGGACGCGTCAGGCTCTGCGCACGGACACCTGGCGCCGTCTTTCAACAGGTGTGAAGACGGAGAGAGAGACCGCGCTGCACCGGGCCCCTCCCCTGCCCCCTCTGCCGCCGGATCTGCCCGCGCCCCGCCGTGCGCGCACGCGCGGGGGACCGCCGACCCCTCCGCCGTGGCAGGAGGCTTCGGCAAAGACGCCCACACTCCCCGAGCCCGCGGCTCCGGGAAGGAACCCCGAAAACCGCATCTTCCAGCCCGGCCGGGCGGCCGGGGACCCGGGCTGCGCGGAGGAGCGGAACCCACCGCGTCCCGAGCCGGCCGCGCCAGGCTCCTCACCTGCTTCAGGACCTCGGCGGCGCGGCGGTGCGAGCAGTCGAAGACCACGTGGAACTCCCTGCCCTTCTTCATCTCCTTCAGCAGCGGCTTCGCGTCCTTGCTGCCGGCCGGCAGCTGCCGGATCCGGACCCGAATGTTGTGCCTGGAGGGAGCTTTGATGAGCTCTTGCAGGCGGATCAGCCCTGGAAGAGAGTCCGAAGCACGTGTGTTTAGTGCCGCTCGCGGCCACACGCACGTGGTCCCCGACGCGAGCCGAGGGGCTGCCACCTACGGGGCACCGTGCTGACCCCTCTCTCCTTCCTCATGCCGGCGGCCGATCCCGCGGAGCCGGCCGGCGGAGGGGGGGGTGACCTGTGACCCGCTCCCCCGCTCCCCCGAGCGCCTTCTGAGCTTGTTTGGAGGGAAGTTCCCCTCCAGGTGGCAGCCAGCAGCTCGCGTCCTAGCAGGTTAGGTCTGGACCTCACAAGTCGTGCGAATAAAAAGGTGCTTGAAGTTTCCAACGGTGCTTAATGACATAGATAGCACCTGCTCCCCCAAAGCGAGGGTTTGGGGGGCTGTGCACCTCTGCAGGCCGTGCACCAAGTGTGTCCCTGTGACCACCGTGTGCCTGCTAATTAGCTGGGCGGCTCCGTGCAGCCTCCCAGGTCTTGCCACGGAAACGACTCAGAGGTGGTTCATTATGTTCTCTCTCCGCCGTGATTGCCTGTTGAATCGGAAAATCCTATCTTGATTGAAGTTAGACTGTCGGCCGGTTTCTCGGCAGAACCTGTGCGGGCCGGGAGGGCCTGGCGAGGAGCATTCCCAGTGAGGAGAAGGTGGGGGGCCCAGCCCAGGCCGCTCTGCCCGGTGAAGCTGCCCTTCAGGACCGGAGGGTGGACAGAGGGTTTCCCACCCAAACAGACGAACGCGAAGGAGTTCGTCCTCACCAGACCAGCACCATTCGAGGTGTTCAGGGGTCTTCTCGAAGGAGAAAAGAGACATGAAATATGAACAACAAGCCCTGGCTGGCGTAGCTCAGTGGACTGAGCGTGGTCTGGGAACCAAAGCATCGCAGGTTCGATTCCCAGTCAGGGCACATGCCTGGGTTGCAGGCCACGGCCCCCAGCAACCGCACATTGAAGTTTCTCTCTCTCTCCCTTCCCTTCCCTCTCTAAAAATAAATAAATAAATCTTTCAAAAAACATGAACAACAAAGTGGCAATAAATGCGAATCTGTCAACACTTGAATCTAAACATAAAACAAACAAGCAGAACAGAAACAGACTCGCAGACACGGAGAACGGACTGACAGCCGCCGGGCGGTGGGGTTGCCGGGGGAGGGGAAGGGACAGGGGAGCGCAGCTCGGGGGCCCTCACAGAACAGGCACGGACGTGAAGTCCGGCGCGGACTGTGGTCAGCGGCACCGTGATGACCACGTGCGGCGCCAGGTGGGGGCACAGCGTCCGGGGTGACGCCCCCTCCCTGGGGGGCAGGCCTGAAACAGACGGCGCTGTGTGTCGGCTGAGGACATTAAAAAGGGGCAAACAAATAAACAAATAAATAAAAGAAGTCAACAAACTAGAACAGAAACAACACCAGAGACCACGGCGTTTTAGGGGCCGCGACGACAAGAGCCGGAACAGCAGAGCCTGTCAACACCTGCGGGGGGTGGGGGCCGCGGGAAGGGAAGCGTGTGCGGGGGCGGAGCCCCCAGAACGTCCACCTGGCCGCGGGCGTGGCCCTGTGGGGCAGCCCGGCGTCGGCGCACCGGCTCTCCCGGGGCGGGACCACCCTTGGCGCCGCAGCCCTCGGGCCGGAGCTGCTGGGTCAGCGGCTGCCGTCCCCCGGAACACCGGCTTCTCCCTCCTCTTCCTGCGCGCGCTCTCTGCCCCCCAAGATGGGCTGGCCGCGCGCCCGGGGAGGGAGTGCCAGCTCCGCCTGAGTTCCAGGGGCGCTGTGGGGGGCGCCCAGCACCCCTGGTTTAGAGCGGAGCCTTCGTTTTCCGGTTTCCAGCTTCTTCCCCAGAAGACACCGTTTTTTGTTTGTTTCGGTGGCGCACGGGTGAAAGGCTCCCCCGGCGCCGTGCACAGGCGTGGGTGTGCCCTGCGGGATGGGCGTGAGCTGGTCCTCAGGGTCCAGTGGGGGGGGCGTGCAGGGGGTCGGAGAACCGGTTAAGACCCAGTGCTCCCTGTCCTTCTTGATTTTTTAGCGTAAAATAGCCGCTGTCAGCACCACAGCCCCCCGGGCGCCTGCCTCTCCTCACGCCAGTCAGCGTGGCGGCCGGATGACCAGCCGCGGGCCTCTCCCAGGCTCGCCTGTCCGGAGCCGCCGACCCTGCGGAAGGCGGAAGAGAGCCGAGAACGTGAGCGGGCCCCTCGGTCAGTCCCGTGGCCGCCCGGTGGAGCGGGCACTGTCCCCTCGGCGCCGCAGATGAGAACCCCAGGGCTCACCCCATGGCGGAGCTCCCTGAGGCCCCGGGGCGTTCGCAGGGGCCGCGGAGCCGCAGGTCGGGGCTCTGACCCCCGCAAGCGGAGCCTGTGCCGGAGCGGGTGTAAGTCCGCTGCCACGGGGCTGTGGGGGGCAGGGACCCCTCTTCCTCTGTGCCGGCAGGTGCGCTGTCTCCTTCCTGAGCCTCCTGCCTCCTCCTGCCCTGCCGTCACCTACACGTTTTATTTCACCTGACCGTGACCCCAGGGAGCTACTCGGCCTTTCCGTGGAATGGCAGAAACGCGGTGAAAGTGCATTTCGTGTCCTGCAGACGGGGCGTCAACCTCGGAGGGCGTGTTCCCGTGGCGAGGACGATAGGACGCACACGCGCGCCGATGGCATTGGAAGTTGGGAGCGTTTCCTCACCTCACTCGTGTGTTTTTACAGGAAAACATGGGGGGGGCGGTGCCCAGGACGCGGGTGCAGAGAAGGGCGGACCCGCCCAATCCGGCTTCCTGGTGGGGGCGGGCGGTCTGCCGGGCTGCCCAGCGGTAGGTCCGGGCATCCCTCGGCCTGGGCCCGTGGAGTCCTGTCTGTCTGTCTGTCTGCCCGCCCGCAGGGGAGACGGCCTCGGGGCACGGGACCCGCAGGCTGGGGGGTGGCTGCGGACCCGGGGGGGGGGGCAGAACAGCAGGCGCACCCTGTTGTTCCCGGAGCAACATGTGCTCAGAAAGGCCTGTGGGCGCCGCCGTCAGCAGAGGCTGCAGAATCCACAACTCGCAGGCTCCTTCGGTTCACGGGGGACAAAAACGGGGGGGGGCGTCCCTTCTGTTTGCGTTTTGCCGCTCCTCATCGCTCACGGTCGCCTCGGCGTGAAGGAGAGGTAACGGTTACCTTCTGAACAGCTTCTCCAGCGCGGCGCAGCTGGGTCAGCAGCGGCTCCGCCCCGGCCGCGCCGAGGGCCAGGCCTCCGGAAGCCCGCCCTGCTGACAACCCGAACTCCTCAGCGGCTGTGCCCGCACCAGCGTCGCACTGCTGGCCGAGTGAAACCCAGGAGTCCCGTCGCAGTCCACCGGTCTGTGCCCCTCTCTCGGGTGGCCCCGCTGTGTGGAGGAGGCGCGGCCGTGAGGGAGGGTGACCCTGCGGTGCCCACCGCGGGGTGCGGAACCGCGGCCTCCCTGGCTCACGCGCCCTCTGTTCGCAGGGCGGGCGCGCGGGGTCTGGCGTGCACGACGCCGCGTCCTCGGGGGCGCATCTGCGCGCCGCGCTCCTCCGGCAGCACCTCCTTGGCTCACCGCGGGCGGGCAGGCGACGCTTCCCAAATACGATTGCCGGGGGCTTATCCTTCCCGGGGGGCTGCTTTTAATATAATCACAAGTTACACATCAGTTACCTGCCCTTCTTCCTGAAATGAGACGATGCGTGAGAAAACACGCAAGTGCGTGTTTCTGGCCAGAAGGGCCTCTCTGTTCCGCCAGTCGGAAATGGGGCGGAGTTAGTGCCGGAGGGAGGCTCCTCCGCGGGGGGAAGAGGCGGTGCGGGCGCGCGACAGAGGCGGAGAGACGGGCTATTGAAAAGTCTCATGCGCTTTGCTTCATTCATTGTCACTGACCATTTTCTTACTCTTACTACCAAGTGCGTATGTCAAAGAACGGAGCTCATTTCAAGTCTTGGAGAAAAATACTCGGGAAGTAAGTGCAGCCGTCCTCGGGGTCCGCGGGGACCGTTCCAGGGCCCGGGAGCGCCCCGACCTGCGGCGGCTCCCGCCCCTGCGTGAATGGACGCGGACAGCGCGCTCCTCGGCCCTGCGCACCCGCCGCTCCCAGGGCTGTTGGCGACCCGCCCTTGGCTGGGTCCGCGGCGGCAAAGCCCAGCCTGTGGACGCCGACTGCGTGTTTATTGCAGAAAATCGGACGTGACTGGAATGCTTCAAACCCGTGTTGCCGCAGGGTCGGCTGCAGTGGGAGCCCTTCCACGCCCCATTGAGCCCTGGCCGGGCTGAGTTAGGTGTCGGGTTACAGAAATAACTGTGGCGAGCCCTCCGTTTCAGGAATCCCTAGCCTCGCAGGCACGTGAACAGACAATTGACGTGTGATACGGGGCGGCATTGGCAGTGACCACCGGCCCTACAGTGGGTTTGAGGGCTGCCATGGAGAAGCGGGGAGAGGCACCCAAAGTCGGGACCCCCCCCCCAAACTCGGGGTGGGGGTGATGGGGCTTCGTTCGCGCCAGGGCGAGAGCCTGAGCCGGGGAGCGGCGCTGAGGAGGAGGGGCCTGCACCTGGCTGTGTGGACGATGGAGAGCCGCCAGCCAGGCTTGCCCTGAATGCGGGGGGCTGGACTCCCACCACCCCCGGCCTGTGCCCAGGCGGCAGGCGGGAAGGTGCCCTTAAGGAAAGGTCAGGTGGGCAGGGTCGGAAAAGCGTCCGCGGGGAGCAGGTGCCGGAGCCACCCTGTCCGCACCCCCAGGTGAGCAGGTGCAACAAGGAAGGCTTTGTGAGGGGCTCATCACCCAAAGACGGGCCACGCCGCCCTTCCCGCCAGGCGGTCAGCTTCATCCACACGCCCTCTGTCGGGGGGTCCGACCTGCGGCCCCACGGCTGAATGCGGGCCAGGAATGTGGCCGTGAATGCAGCCCGACGCAAAATCGTAAATTTACTTAAAACGTGATGAGACTTCATGTGCGTGATTACCAGTCGCAGCGTATGTGAAGTGTGGGCCAGGACAACTCTTCTTCCCGTGTGGCCCCGAGCGAGATGCCGAAAGCCTGCACACCCCCTGCCTTAGAAACTTCCAGACACACGGGTGCAGCCAGCGGTCAAGTCAGAAACCTCCTCTGGTCGTTTCCCAGCGTGCTCTGCTCCAGTGAAGGGGTGGCGTCCAGGCCCCAAGTCGGTCGAGTTGGATACGCAGTGAGGTCTTTAACGTTCTGCCTAACTAACAATATACATCAAAAAGGCGACATTTCTCCAAAAAATCCTCCTAAAATGGTTGGTGGAAAACCCACGCCCCAGACGGACCTGGAATGAGCCGGATGGGGTGCCCCTGATCGGGAGACCCCCCAAAAAATCCTCCTAAAATGGTTGGTGGAAAACCCACGCCCCAGACGGACCTGGAATGAGCCGGATGGGGTGCCCCTGGATCGGGAGACCCCCCAAAAAATCCTCCTAAAATGGTTGGTGGAAAACCCACGCCCCAGACGGACCTGGAAAGAGCCGGATGGGGTGCCCCTGGATCGGGAGACCCCACCAGCCTCCGGAGCCCTCCGCGCGGCAAGGGGATGCGACGCGCGCGCCCCGGGCTCCGGGCCCAGGCGGCGCCCGGCGAGCGTACCTGCGCTGTCCTCGTAGACCAGCGTCACGGCCCTCCAGCCGAAGTAGAGGACCAGGTCCAGCACCGCCCGGCTGATGGCCGCGGCGTCCGGGTGCAGGTTGACGTGGAAGGGGTCCCGGCCGTCGGCCGCCGGGGGGCGCCAGCGGGTGTGCACGTGTGGCACCTGCAGCGCGTTGCACACGGACTGCACGGCGCTGGCCGAGGAGCTGTGCGCGGGGCCCAGGAGCGCGGCGACGCCCAGGGCCAGCTGGTCGCAGGCTGCGTCCCGAGGCGGGTGGGATGGGGGAGGGGGCACAGGAGGGGAAGACAGAGAGAGAGAGAAAGACCCGTGAATTCCCCCTTTCCTTTTCCTCCCAAGACCCCGCACCTGCGCTCTCAGTCCGGCATCCAGACCCTCGAGGGGCTGAGAGCGGAGGATGGAAAGTGGGACCCGTCACAGACACCTCCTGGGCCGTGGAGGGATGCGCCAGTCCGCGGGCGTCCCTGCAGTCCGTGGGGACTAAGTGCAGTGCTGGCGGGTGGCTCCGGGGGCGGGCAGAGGTGCCGTGGGGAGAGGCGGGGCTGAGGCCGGGGGTCCCAGGGAGTCCCGGGGGGCGGGGCCCTGCAGGCTGCTGCCGCTCCTGTGGGAAGAGCCGCGAGGACCATGGAGTGGCCCTGACGCCGCCTGGCCACAGAACGAGGAACTGCCTGGCAGACAGGGGGTCAGGAGACCCGGTCGGGTCCCTGATGTCCCAGCCTGGGGGGTGGGGGGGCGGAGGGGGCTGGGAGGGCCGCGGTTGCCCTGACCCCGCTGGGTCCCAGCGGGTGTAACAGCTAACAAAACAGAGTCAACGTGTGTGAGGAAATTAGTTCAGCATCCATGCATTTTTCTCAGAGTAAGATTATGTACACTTAGGGAGAAAATTTAGAATATTTAGAAGCGTGAGAATAAAAGTCCGTGTTATTCCATCTTGGGCTAATTTTTTTTTTGGTGTTCCAATTTCCAAAAACAAATGGAGTCATCGCACAGACGCACTGCTTTCCTCACTCTCGTCGGAACCCAGGAGCGCGCCTCCCGCGGCCGTCACGAACTCCCGGGGAGCATCTCGGGGGTCCGGGCAGCCCAGGGCACCTCGGAGCGGCTTGTCTCGCTGCTCCCGAGACACAGAACATCCCCGCTGCTCCCGAGCGCTGGCCGCTCGAAATCTTGTCACGGCAGCTACCGTGGTTCTCCCGAGCGTCTCAGAGTTTACGTGGAGCCCATGCCCAGCTGTAGCGAAAGGGTGTCGATACTTTTCGGTCACTCGAGACAAATCGATTGCATCCCCTTCCACGAGGGTCAGGAGCGGTTATCGTCCACAACCACCGCAAGCACTGCCTTTGCGTTGCATGCTGATGTGAGTTTGGGCTGGCATCTAACAGGGACTTAAAAGCATTTCAAACGTATACTTTAACGCTAGTTTAAAGGAATTTGAAACTGCTGAGAGATAACTGAATATTTGAATCAAATTATGCAAAAAATTTATACGTGAAGTTGTGTTAATATTTATGAAGATGTCTTTCTACAAAGGAAAGTAAGTTGAAAAGCTACAGTGCTTAGTCAGGATCGTCTAAGTTGATTTAGAGGGAAAAGCCGGCAAGGACAGCTTGGAGAGCCGTCCCCAGGTGCCTACGGGGCAGCCAGGACAGCCCTTCGAGGGGAGACTCGCAGCCCGGGGCTAGGAGGCCGTAACCTGTGCGCTCAGCACTGGCTGGAACTTCCCCTTGTCCGCCGTGGCAGCGTGTGTCCTGGAGCCGTTTCCGTGGGTGAGGGCGAGAGTCTGCAGATGGCTGTTTTGTGCGGCGTGGGCGACGGACTGAGACTCCTGCTGGTGTTCAGCTCAGACTCAGCCAACCCTCCCGAGCTCCCCGTGCCAGCAAACCACTGGTTTTAAGCAGCTTTGGGGGCGTTTAATTTACAAGCACTGGCAGGTGCTTCAGATCACAAAGAGAGCTGTCAATTTTGTGTGGCTGAAGTGTGGTTGGCTCCCTGAGGTATTTACTCAGCGATGCGTGTGTGTGTGTGTGCGTGCGTGTGTGTGTGTGTAAGAGGAAGACAGAGTCAGAGGGAGGGAGGGAGGGAGATTTGACCCCTGGAGACAATTTGTGTGAGGATGCCTTGAAAACTTGAAAATGCCATTTAAATATAATGTATAAAGTTTTATTGTGTGTTTAGAGACAACCGTGTTCCATATATAGGATTGGCCAAAAGCCCATCACATTTTCTGCATAAAATAAAAGACACATTTTTTATTTTTCACCAATAGCTTGTGATCTGGATATTTTGAGTGTGTTGGCTGTGTCTCCCGCTGCTGGCTTCTACTGCAGGGCAGAGGCCGGGAGGCTGCGAAACATCTCCCAATGCCCAAGGCAGCCCCGCGGCAAGGAATTACTTGGCCAAAATGTCAATAGTACCAAGAAACTCCACAAACCACTTTAGACACATTCGATCAGTCACAGCACCTTCCCCACACACTGAACAAAACATTTTTTTTGCATTTCAGTTGCGTTTTTACCTTTCTTGAAATAATAAAGCATGGTATGCCAAAAATGTTGTGTATCTTCTTCCAGCTTCAGTATTAAAATGGCTGCACAAAAATTCACCCATTTTGACAGCTTTTCTTTAAAGGCACGCTGAAACGTCATTCTTTAAATGACAGCTGTCACAATACAGTCTAACAAAATTGCCTGAAATGAAGTTACAGACAATTAAGCACCACCGGGGCCATCGTGTGGAAAAAACGTAACGAACTCTTTGGCGCACCAACAGTGCAGGCAGCTCCTTCTTTAAAACAAAACGCTCCTATTACTAAGGTCACGCGGCGGAGAGAAGGAAGTCCTTGCACTGTTTCTCTTCGTCTTTGCTCCTGGGAAGCGAGTTCCATGTTTTCTTTGTCAAGACCACGGAGACTCTGGGGAGAGCGCGGGGCGGGGGCGGGGGGCACATGCAGCTGGGTTAGTTCTAGGTGGAAACAACCAGTGTTCAGCCGCTGCGAAGTCAGCCCGAACTTGGCCGTCGCCGCAGCCGGTTTGTTTGGGTGCTTTTGTTTCTCCGAGACAAAGAGCCGCCCGCTCCGGGCGGGAGCAGCCTCCGCCTCCACTCGGAGCAGATCCGGCCCGGAGTCCGTGCGCTCTGGCGGGAGGCACCGAGCGTGGGGGTGTCGCCCCCCCCCACCCACGGCGTCTGAGGGCGCAGGCCCCGCGACGGAGCGCCTGCCGGCGCGGACAGCGGTGGCAACTTGTAGTTTTAACTCCAGCGTCTCCCGAGTCGCCACGCGGCGTGCTTGGGCGCGGCGCTGTTGCGTCACAGAACCGCGGGCGCGGGGTTTGTGACGAGCGAGTTTGGGACGAGTCAGGGGCGTTATCTGTGCCGGGCCCCGAAGGCCACTCTTCAGGGACCTTCCCGTTCGGAGCCAGGAGGGCCGCCCGCAGGGACTGATCTCCGGGTTTAATCCTTTTACATTTAATTCCGATTCCGACCCACGCACTTTCACCGCGGCTCGCGGGTCTCCGCGCTGGGCGCCCGCAGAGCGCGCCCTGGCCTCTGACCCAAGCACCCCGTTCGTGTGTGTGTGTGTGTGTGTGTGTGTGTTTGTGTCGTGCGGCCCCACGTCTGTGTTCTCCCGCTCTCACTTCTGTACTGACGCGTGGGTCGACACGGACGCCGTCACTTTCTGGCGTGTCGACCGGGGTCTGCAGCCGGCCTCCCCCCACGGGCTCGCGCACGGGGGCCAGGAGGAGGAGTCGGGAAGGCGAACCCGGAGGGGCCGCTGTTGGACTTCGGCGGTGACCGAGGTGCGTCGCGGGCGTTTCCCCGCGCTCCGTGGAGGCGACCGGGCGCGGAGTTTTATTTGATGGCTCTGCCCCGTTTCACGGCGGCGTCTCAGCCTCGGGAGGGACCGCAGGTCCAGCCAGGGGTTTGCCCTGCACAGCCCTGCAGTGACTGGCAGAGGGGCGGGGCGGGGCCACGGCGTGGGGGCGGGGCCACGGCGTGGGGGCGGGGCCACAGGGCGGGCGGGGCGGGGCCACGGTCTGGGGGCGGGGCCTCAGGACGGGGGCGGGGCAGGGAGGGCCCTGGACAGCCAGCACCACCCCCCAGGGGGACAGGGCTCAGGCTCCCTGGGCCCAGTCGCGCGAGGGCAGGCGACCCGCGGAGCAGACGCGGCCCCCAGAGAAGCCGTGGGAATTGCGGCCACGGTTACCTCTCCGCGAGGCCTCGAAACTGTCGAACAGGTTGACCCTCTGGATGTCGTAGGTCAGCGTGGTGTTGGGCATCAGGGTCCGGTTCCTGTTAATGCTGGTGACCGCGAACTTGAACGCCAGCTCTTCCACGTTAACAGGCTCGTTTTCCACAGTTTCAAAGATCCCCCCTGCAGAAGCAAAAGAGATGCGTGAGAAGCGTCAGTCTCATTAAAAGAAGAATAGAAAGCGTTCAAACAAAAGGCCCACAGCGCCCGGCTGGCGTGGCGCAGTGGATTGAGTGCGGGCCTGCGAAACAAAGGATCGCTGGTTCGATTCCCAGTCAGGTGCCCAGTAGGGGGCGCGTGAGAGGCAACCACACACTGATGTCCCTCTCTTTCTCCCTCCCTGCCCCTCTCTTAAAAAAAATCAAAAAATTTAAGGCCTTACAGGCTGGCTGGTCGCAGACCCCAAACCCGGTGCAGCTAGCTCATCAGCTTGCGTGACATGCAGATGAGGGGCCGCCTCTCCCTGCACGCGCATCTGGCTCCAACCCCACCGAGCTTCCTCACGAATAAACCTCTGTCCCCCGGGTCCGCAGCTCACGGGGTGGGCGGGGCCGACAGCACCAGACGGCGGCAATCAGCCAGGGCAACGCGGAGTGGCCGCGAGGGTTCCGGAAGCATTTCTTCCGGGGCCTAATCTTCTCCGAGGACCGAATGGGGTGTTTTGTTATTGGGGCTAGAATTCAGACTCAGCTCGTCACAGAGCAAGAGACAGTGAGCTGTAAGGGGCCGCTGGGTGGATTCTGAAACGGGCGGAGGAACACCTGCCCGGGGTGTGGGAAGGGCCCCTTCTCGTGGCCGGTAGCTCAGCCGAGCTTAGGGGTCCGCGAGCCCGGGGCGCAGGCGCGGGGTCAGACCACAGCTCTCCTCCTCCGAGTTCAGGCTGCGCTCCGTGGTTTCACAGCCCGGGGGGCTCGCCTGTGGCAGTTGGTGGGGGTCAGCTCAGGGGGAAGGGGCCGCACCCTCCGACGAGTTGGGCCCAGAGAGGGCGTCGCAAGACCCGGGAGCCGGGGTGGGGACCAGGGCGAGCCATCCACGTGTTTGCCTCCCAGGTATGTTTGGGGGGGGGGCCAAAACTGCTAATCAAGACAATCTAATTCTCAACCTAAAAATATCTAATAATGCAAAGAAGCAACGATGAACAAAGCATTTCAACTATGAATGGAGTGGACTCAGCTCACCAGCCTCCTCCTCCCCGCCCTGCCGGTCCTCTGCCGCCCCGCCAAAGCTCTTTCACCCTGCGAGGTGTTTTCTCTCCATTTCACTGCCCTGCGATCCCCCCGGTTCATTGCCTCGTGGGGCCGACGCTCTCACCCCTGCTTTCTCGGGGAGCGCACTGAGGCTCAGAGACGTTGCATAGACGCCCACTGCGTGGCTGGGACACAGCAGAGTCTGCACTGGGACTGGGCCCGGACGGCACAAAACGCTCATTTTCACGGATTATTTATGCACTGTCCCCCACCCCCAGGCACAGAATTAAGGCACGTGAGTAAAATCTACAAGCACATGCTCACGGGGGTCTAAGACAGGGACGCCCGACGAGAAAAGCGACAACGCAAACGTGTCTCCCGGGAAATGTGCGCTCAGAATTGATTGACAGGCAGGAACCGGGCCGCTGTTGGCGTCGCTGCTGAGCAAGTGACGCCGAGAGGCCGGATGACTCGGGGCCTCAGGTCCGTCCCCGGGCCGCTGACTCTACGGGGGCTCCACGGCGTGCCGGCATGGCTCGCGCACGTTTCAGGACTTCCGAGCCATTTGCCCCTTCCCCTCCTTCCGGAGAAGAAGATTGTTGATCTTGACCTGCTGACAGATTTCGGCAGCCCAGAGCCGACTGCGGGGACGCAGGTTAAAAGCTGATTACATTAGGAGGTCATCTCCGAGTTCCCCCTTCATTTAAAAACTGTTTTCAACTGGGAAAGACACCCGAGGTGCTGCGGACCGCACTGCAGTTCCGACCCTCTGGTTTCTGACTGGAGTCTTCGGGTCATGCTTTCCTCCTTGTAAAAGGGGCAGAAGATAGAATTGTTTACCCAGGTGGCAGATGGACTCTGCACCGTGGCCTGTCAACGCCGAGCTCCGTTGACCATAACTGCTAGGTCATCCGATGCAAATGTGGGTTTTGCTTCTGAAACCGCGTGTCCACGTTTCTCAGCGAACTGCTGTGCTGTTTTCCTCCCTGTGTGACACTTGGCTTCTCTGAGGTCAAGCCATCCCGTCCTGCTGTTCGCGTCCATGTCAGGACGGCACCGAGCCTCCCTCTGATGCAGAGAGCCCCGCCCCTCGTCCCCGAGCGAGGCTGCGAGCTGTGGGGGTGCAGCTCCGCCGCGTCAGGCACCGCCCGGGGCGCGGTCATTTCAAGGTGACAGAGCCCCCCGGAACACGTGAGCAGCTGAGGCTAGGGAGCGCACCGCAGACTAGACTGAAGCCCCCAAGAACTCCCGGACAGCCGGTGGGCATGGGACTTGGGGTGCTTCCGAGGGTGAGAAGGTCGTGCCACCCGCAGCCGGGCCCCCGGGCAGTGGGCCCCGCCCCCGCTGCTGGGACTTCCTGCTGGGCTCGGGGGTGTCTCCACGGGAGATCGCTGCTTCCCAAGTGCCACGAGGCCTCCAGGGCCGTCGCTGGAATTCCCGCCCGCGGGCACCGCAGGGCAGCAGCTGCCTGCTCCCGTCCAGGGCCTGCGGCGGGTGGACGTGCAGACCTGTGGTCGATGAAATGCCGGTAGCGGCAGTCCATTTCGGGAAATCGGACTGTGGGTGATGTTCAGTGTGTTCTTCGTATCTGTCTCAACCTCAGACTTTCCTCACATAACATCAGTCACTTGGTAAGAAGGCATTTTTACTCGTTTCCGTGGGAAAATGCACAATTTGGATATTTCCCACTTTAAATGGAAAAATAAATTCTGTTCATTCCTTTCGTGGTGAAATTTGCGGATGCCTCTGCATTCTCCAGCGAACAGGTTGAGTTACCCGCTGAGGGAACTCCGTGCTCTTTAAGGAGGGGCCGAGTAGAGAATCTTCACCATCAAGTTTATTAGTAGTCTTTGCTTTTCAAGAAAAACGTGATTTAATTTTTCATGGTGTTTTACGAACGTGGCAAGCCATTGGCTTTTCTTTCCCTCATCAGCAGTTTCAGAACAACTTCTCAGATTTCTGAGAAGATAAAGATCAGGGGTGTGTGGAAGGAAAGCTATGAAGACCCCAGCGCAGGTAAACAGCTTCCCAGGCCCTGCCAGGGAGAAGCAGAGAGATCCGACCTCAGCTTTAATGCCCCCCCCACCCCCGGCGGGTTCTGGTCAGAGAAGTGGACACTCTGTTGGAGGTGGGCGTCCAGCGCTGTGCGAGCCCGCAGCCCACCCTGGCCAGCATGCACGGACCCCGGGGCTGGCCGGCGTCGGTGTTCCGGCGACACAGAGCGAGCGGGGGGCTGTGCTCCTGGCACTCCCACCCCTCCCCGCGCCCCCCTTCCTGACTGCCGTGCAGTTTTACCCTCCCTACGCCTTGTGGAGCGTCTGCGGACGACCCCCGGCAAGGACGCTGCCCTTTCCTTCTCGGTGCTGGCCTCGGAGTTCCGCCGTCATGGACACTCGAGCCATCAGAGTGGCAGCTGGGCCCACAGGCCACCTGTCTCCGCACCTGCCACCGTGAGCGGACATAACCAGCGAGTGCAGCGGTCCAGCGGGGCCCAGCGCGTCGGTCTGAGGGGCCGTGCCCGCTCCAGCAGGGACGCTCGTCAGCGGTTTTCCTGGGACTCACTTGGGGACCTGAGGGGCAGGCGGCAGCTCCCCCACGAGGGAAGCTGCAGCTGCCAGTCGGGGCTGACGGCCGGGCCGTTAACGGGCTTTTTCCTTCGGCACAAGATCGGTCGAAGTGGTGTTGCCAGGCCCAGAATTTTGCAGCGCGTGCGTGTTTATGGTGTGGAAAATCACAATTGCACTAATTGTCCGTGAGAAACGCCTGTGGCGCTGGCACCTGGCGGGGGTGCAGGCAGAGGGAGGGCAGGCGTCTGAGGTCTGAGGTCCGTCCATCACACAGCCGCCTCCCGGGAGACGCGCTCCTTCCTCCGCTGAGGGCGGGGGGCTGGGGGCTGGGGGCCTCGCCCTCGGCTTCAGGGCAAGCCCTGAGCATGTGTGTGTGGGTGGGCTGCGCCCACGCTGGGCTCCCGGGGGGGGGGGGCTGAGTCACGCAGAGCCTGGGCAACCCGTCGCCGCAGCCGGACCCCCAGCCGCACGTGGGGGGAGGGTGGGGGGCGGTGCCGACTTCTTGCCAAGGACACAGCCGTGTGCACGTGAGGCTGCGGTTCCTCAGCGGGGACGTGGGAGCCCTCGGCCCTCGTCGGCCAGGCCAACCCTTTCCCCGTGGCCTGGGGACATTGGAGGGGAGCAGCCGACGGGCTCCGAGTCCCCTCGGAGGGTCCGAGCGAGGGGCCGCCGGCCCAGGTGAGGGCTTCCCACGCTCTCGCTCCGTGGGCGCGAGTGTCTTCTCAGCCGGGTGTCCCTCGGGTTTTCTCAAAGTCCCTTCAAGGAGGAAACTCGGCATTTGCCGATGCACTTCGTTTTCACGCAGTTAAAGTGGTTCTTCGAGGAACCCAGTGAGATCCCTTTACCACACTCCCAGGTCCTGGGCCGCGGCCTCAGCTCTCCTGACACGCGGGCGTTCACAATCGTCGGCGACACCTTGTCCCAGAGCCTGCTCAGCCCACGCCCCAGGTGTGCGCTCATCGGACGCTGAGGCACCTGCGGGGCCGGTGACCCTGCGCGGTGGCCACTCGATGACGGGGAAGGAACTGAAGGCGTGGGGACACCGTCGGCGCTGGGGGGAAGGGCCGGGCGCCCGGGGACACGCTGCTTGTCCCGAGCGAACACCGGGCACCAGGCGGCAGGACGGCACCGCCCTCACGAGGGAAGGGGGGTCGCCCCCCGTGTTTCTGTTCTCAGACTCCCTCCGAGAGGACAGTGCGCTGTCGGGGCTTCTGCGGCCCCGCGCGCCCCCGCTGCTGAGTCCTGGCGGCACAAACGGGCGGAAAAGGCTGCGTGTGGGGCTGAGGCGCGCGGGGGCGGGCAGCTGGGGTCTGTGACCCCCTCCCCACGAGGTTCAGACTCAGACACGGCGGAGCCCCCCCACCCCCCC